AATTTAGGATATATAAAGGTGATGGGGGAAATTATAGTATTTTTTGTGTGGGGGGGGAATTCTTTTTTTTTTTAATCACACAACAAAATAATCTTATTTTTTTTTTTTTTTTTAGAAAAAAAAGATTGTTATAAAAAACCTGGCGGGCCCCGGGGGGGGGGGGGGGGGGTGTGCACCCCCTGCACCCTCCCCCTAGATCCGTCCCTGTTACTCATATGCTGTAATTCGTATTGGTGAAGAAATCCTCATTAAGGAAGCTGAGTACCTTTTTCAAGGAGACTGGGTTTGACTCAATGTAAGCAAGCTGCTTTCTTTGAAATTAGGAGGCTGGCATAAGTAACTAACATGTTGTTGAACGTTTTGTTATGTCTATAAAAATAGTCAGTGTTTGTTTTCTAGCTGTTTTATAAGAAGTACTTCTTTGGGGTGAAAGTGAATATGCCCCAAAAAATGATACACTGGCACATGTACCCTGAAGGGAAAATTTCAGACAAGTCCAACAGTCATTTTCACAGGAGAATCACAAAGGTAGAGAGGTAAAGCATTCTTATTTTATAGAGTGTTTTTTACTCATGTGGCCAGCATCTACGCAAATTTATTGGAACAAAAGAAAGCCCTTGCGTAAGAAAAGAGTTCAACTCCCAGAGGATTGGTTTGGGACACCAACATGGCCACCCTTTCATTGTTTTGGGACACCAATATGGCCACTGTGATGTCATGTGAAAACACTCTATTTCCCATGTAGCTTGAAAAAGTCATCACCTTACTAAGAAACCTGAAGCTGATAGTATGCACATTTTACCCCTCTCTTTCCACCAATTTTACATGTTTTAAGCTACAAGGAAATGAAGTCAATAAAACAAGGACTTAAGGTCACGCATAGGAATCAGAATCAGGACCTCTTGCACAAAAAGCCGTGCACTAAGCAACTGTACTAATCCTTGCTTCTGTAACTAACAGACCAGGGAGAGGGTAAATAAAAAAAAATCTTGAATGGACTGAAGAGACTTTCTTAACTGGTGGGTAGCATTCATCAGAAACGTCATATCAAAAAAATATTGTTTCCCGGACGAGTATGCTCTGCTTTTCAGCAGACCTTTCTTAATACTAGTATTCTAACCAGGAGTTGCAATGGACCATCTGGGGGAGAAACTAGAGAAAAAGATGACTTTCTTCTGAATTTTTATTAATTAGGATAGTGGCTTATCATTGTAGATGTCAACCAGTCACAATAATATTTTAACATGTAGATTGATACATTCAAATGGTCGTTAATTATTTATCGCGTCCGTTCTTGGGCAAGATGAAGACAACTTCAATATTGTGATCAGTTCTTTACAAATTGATTGAATTTCAAAAGCTGTCAAAACTTGGTTTTTGCCTTTAGTAGTAAGTTTTCGCTTCCGTTTTAGAAAAGCAATCTATACCAGATCGTTGAGATTGATCAGAGCATATATTAATAGCCCCGTCTAGCTAAACAGCTGAGCTATACCATCAGCCGTGACAGCCATAGGCAGAACATATTTTGATAGTTGTGAAATGTAATAGAAACAAAAATATGTCTTCTTGAAAGAAAGTTTAAATATACGTAGCGCGCGTGGGGGAACGATAGGGACCTTCACTTCAAAGACGAAATACTCGCTGATCATGACAGATCAGAAGGTATTCCATCTTAAGTTGTACTTCATGGTGTCGCTTAAACTTTGTTTACCCTTCTTCATTACAGCTGTGATTACCAGCTGACATAAATCGCCATTATACACTTACCGTCGCGTAATTAAGAAATTTTCTTGGCGGACAAGGCTTCGCTCTTTGCCGATAAGGAATTGTAAACTCTGAACGTGATTTGCTGCGAAAGTGTCCGTGAAAACCTGTAGGAAACTAGATAATTCGAGATGTGATAGACAATTTTCAGTCGGCGGTCGGGCAATCAAGCTTTTGAAATAACAAAACACAGCCATTGAGGCCAATACTTACCCATGTTCCTCGAATATCATCCATATTTGTCATATTCGACCCATCTGATGTTTTAACAGCGTTAAACCTCTAATTTTTAAGTCTCAATTTTAAGAATCTCTCTACGCTTAGATGTAACACTGAACTTGTTGTGTTCGGTTACCACGGAACCCATTCAGCGTGACACAGCGCCTTTAATTAGTGATTAATTGACAGTCCCACGAGTAATCAACCAATTGAATTTGGTTTCGCTTCAGCGCGTCAGATGTCAATTTTAATGAAAACATCAATGTTTGCAGCAGTGAATTTTAGCAGCTTCCCCCTAAAAAATCCGCGAACCTAAAGGTAATATAAAAATGTTTTTAAAATTAGATTTCTTTGCTTTATTTTGTTTTTGTTTCTAAATATTCTCAACTCCGTAGACATAGTTTTCACTCGCGTGCACGCGTGTCAAAGCGATTAAAAAACATAGGGAGCTCATGAGCTCCTGAAAAAATGCATATTGATCATGAAATACCGATATACGACTTACAGTCATTCCGTTTACAAACTTGTGGTAGAGGAGGCATATTTACGCGTTCTTAGACTTGCCACAATACAAGTCGGCCTTTTCACTCCACAAGCACTGTCTCTCCTCTCCCTTCCCTCCCACAGTACTGAACACGGGTGGAAAAAAGGGCGGGAAACTTGGCGCGGCTGCCATCTTCATTGTTTCCTACGGGGATTTTGAAGGTTTTATTTTCAACAAACAATACCTATGGTTTAAGCTTAAGTTTATCATTATTATTAATATTACTGAATATTTTGACAGTACTCAAAGTCTTCCAAGGAATTTCTTTTCATCAGAGGCGCTAGGGGAATCTGATCACCAAAGAAGCCAGGGAAGATGCAAAACGTTTTTCCTGCCCGTGAACTGTACAATTCAAATCCTTGGTAAGTAGAGCAAGCTTGTTAACGAGTTCATTAATCTCAGGGAACATCCGACACTTTCTAATATTCCTAAACTACGAATGTCAACTTAAGTTTAAAAACTGTAAAGTTAGGGCTTAGGGCTCATTTTCGGTGTTATAAGAACCAAAGAAAACAAAGAGGACACAACAGAGCCTAGAAAAACAAAAGTTGCAAACAGGTTCTTTTACTGGGATAATTAGAACAAACCCAAAGTAAGGCACTTTCAAGTAAATGATCTACAATTATTCAACACATTAAAAGTCTTTTGTGTAGCATTTTATTTTTTATTAAAGAATGCAAAATTAGCTTTCATCTTTGAAGCAATAACGGTTAGTGTGTAGTATTGAGACGAGCTGAGTACAAAAATCCTTTTTTTTACCTTAAATTTAAGCTTATGTACTTGCTAAACATGCTACATATGCACAAATGTTGCTCTGAGGTCCATGTACGTCGCTCGTGAAAAAGGACTATTTATTTCTGGCAGGGTGGAGAAAGCAAATTACAATGATTGTGCAACGAGTGTTGTCCCCAAAAAATAGAGGAAAAGGACAGGCTTCTAATTATTCAGTTTCCATTTTACCTTTTTACAGTCGAGATTTGTGGGACAGCGAACAGCTGAGTCAAATAGCCGGTTCTCAAGGCTCACAAAACAGTTCTTCAGATATGTTTTCACAATCCAGAATGAGCCAGCTAAAGGGTCTTAGCTCCTTTGACGTTTGGTCGCAACCGTCGAATTCACAGCAATTAGTAGAGGTATTGTTTAGCTTGTTTGATGGGGTTTGATCATGAGGAAGTGATTTCAAATAGACTATCATACAGTTGGAGTCTTAGAACACTAGCTTCGTGCCACCCGATTTTGTAGTTTTTGTAATTTGGCACTGAGGGTCTTACCACAATTACCCCAAACCACACTGCAGTAGTCAAAACGAGGTTGAGTCAGTGAATTGTAGATGAACTGCAAGTTACCGGGAGGGGCATAAAATATAGCCTTAACCATGAAAGGTGTTATGTATAGAAAATCTTCTTGAACCTTGCTTTCACTTAAAGCTATTAATTGTGCTATTAAAAAGTTGTCTATCTCTCTCTCTTTTCATCATTTGTTCAGTGGCTCTGCCTTACTGGGGTTGAGTGAAAATGTAGTGGTAACTGGGTGTTAAAAAAATGCACTTTTTATTTGAGTGTCAATGTATTTAGCACGAAAGTGCTAACTGGGGACACTATTTTTACGTCTCCTAATAAAGACGGGACCGCCATTTTACGTGGTCATCCGAGCCACGCGAAGGTCTCGCCGCCTGCAGTGCAAAGGAAGTACCTTCATTTCTCAGTCATTTTAAGACCCTGAGTAATGGTCCGGCCCCGGGAATCGAACCCGTGACCTCCCGCTCTGCAGTCAAACGCTCTACCGACTGAGCTAATCCTGCCACGGCTATTAGCGGCTATTCTACAGGGATCACATGAGCGATTAAAGGTCTAGTATTTTTAGGCCCTTGGAAAGGCTCATGCTAAGTAGGAAAGAAATAAAAAAGCAAATGTGGGCTTTTAAGAAAAGCATCAAATGTCCATGTCCGCGACATAATGTGAACAGTACCTTGCATTTAGGACGAACCAGTGAAGTATTACATGAAGTACATGACAAAGCCACCGCTATTTCCTGAATCTGAACGCCAATCCCAGAAGATGCAGAAACCTCCGCAGACAGTAGCAGGTTATAAAGAAATGATAGAAATTCAGAAAAAAAAGACTGCAGAGAGAGATGACAGGTAAGCAAACATACATTTTGCGGGCGAAGTGATAGGTAAATTAATACTGTGAGGTCTGCATTAAACTTTAAATACACTTTTGTTTTAAGTTTTCTTTTTTAATTTCGCTACAGGGATGTTCTTGATAGTTTCATATCACTGCTTAAAGACTATACAAAAGAGGTAAGTTCCGGAAAGGGAGAATTAAAGCTTATTTCCTTACAAGTATAAACCCCTTATAAACCGACAAGTCGGTTGGCAAGAGTCGGGGGGCATCAGTGAACGCGTCGTGCCAGATGCTCCCTGCCGATCGCACTTAGCTTTCGTATCCAACGCAATTAAAAACAAATTCTAGGGAAACCATTCACCTCTGTTTCAGAGCTTTAACGATTCTTACTGACATGATATATATAGAGGGCATGCAAGAATTTCTGGATGTTGCTTTTCCCTCTACACTGTAAGCAGATTTTTTAAATTGTGGCTGAAGTTAAGAGAAACATAATGAGATATCTAAAAAAGAATACGTTTGTTTTCCATGCGTGAGACAATGCTGCGTAATCTTTCCCCATACCAGGGCGTTGTTATTGCTTAAAGGACCTGTCTTAAACCTGACTGATTGAACTCCAAAATGTTGAATAAATTTCAGGTGAAAACTACTATGGATTCTTTCAAGGACAGCATCGATTCTACACTGGCCTCCAAGGCAGAGCAAGTAGCTACAGCTGCAAGCCAGTCAGCTGATCTTATAAAAAAATGTAAGCAAATCTACAACTATTCATACTGCTGTTTTCTCGTTTTCTGCCTAATAATCTTAGTAGGAAATTGATAATGATATTGCGGGTTACTGAATTAATCTTAGTGAAAGATGACTTGCTGGAGAGTTTTGGATGTCTCAGGAAGGATCTTAAGGAAAACGAAGATCTGAAGGAAATTATAACCAAGGTAACGATCGATGGTAGTTAATAAGTACCAATATATATACGAATAAAAGAAGGAAAAAGTAACAGCATGAATGCCAGTCTTTGCGTGTACTTAATGGTGGGCTTGATTGAGCGTTGACAACCCTACCATAGATTCAGGTTAAATAAGACGATCTAGAATTCCAAACCCATTGTGAAATCTACACCCATTTTCAAAGTTAAAATCTAAGTTGAGAGACATTTACTGTCAGATTAGACGAAGGTGTAGGCTGAAAAACTAGAAGAAATTGCAGGTGAACGGACAGATTCAGTCGATTGCAGATGGTCGTAAAGTATTATCGTCGACAGCCCTGTTTTTTTTGCTAGTAATTCTGCCGGTTTATTCTCTCACTCAGCAAAATGAAAAGATCGCAGAACAAGATTCGCAAATCAAGATGCTTCAATCTCAGCTGAAAGATTGCCTCACAAGAGAAGAGAAATTAACCGAAAAACACGAGAAACACATGGAAAAAGAAGACAAGGTGCTGCAGAAACTAGAGGAGATCAGCAATAGACAAGCGTCCACGGAAAAAGGACTTCTTCTTCAACGATCTTCCACTGTGGGAAATACCATCCTTAATCAATCAAATAAGTGTGTAAAAGATGACATCATAGAGTATGTTTCTCAAAACCCGCCGAACAGAGCTTTTGGAAATCAGTTTGCCTGGAACAGTACTGAGGTAATGAACCATTGTTGAACCTACGCATTGAGCTAATGTTGTTAATACCAATATTGAACCTAGCTACCCTACTCCATTAGGAAGCACTTGAATAGCCTGCGTGAATTCCCTTCCCCTTCTCTCGCGCGAACGCTAGGGACCTTACGAAACCACGACGGCGACGGCAACGGGAATGCCAAAAAGGAGTAGGATAAAGAGGCAAAACAACAACTCTGCACGTGCATCACGCTTTTGTGTACATTTCTTAGCCGTCCCTGCACAACAACGATGAGAAATGACCAAAATTTAAACGTTTACCTGGGAACGGGAATGGTAAGGCGATAAATTCTACCGCGATCCCTTCTCTTTAGCTGCAACCCAAAATCCCTTCTTTTAATTAACTGGGCCCTTAGGGATAATCGCGAAAAAAAAGTGAAAAGATGCGAAGTCTATTTTTCAGTGACGTTTTCATGGACGTCGTCGTTGTCGGTTCGTAAGGTCCCTGCTTGCCCGCACAGGACGGCGCCCATAAGTGCGTATTTAGACTTTTTATGAACTTAATCTCATTCCCCCTATATCCATGTATAAAGGTAATCCAACCGTCTTGGATTCTGAATTCCATGCTGTGGATTCCGGATTCCGGGTACTGGGATGGGTACCGGCTTTCTTGCCCGTGGAACTTGAAATATTGGATTTCGGATTCCAATCGTTAGCGGGATTCCGGATTCGTTGAGCTTTACGGATTCCACGCGCAATAATTCCCAGGATTCCGGAATTCGGATTTCCTTACATGGAGCGAAGCCCCTGTCCAGTTGGAATGAAAAAGAAAAAACGAGTTCGCAAACAAATCAAAAGAACTGCAATATAGTTAGGTTTTAGAGCCGAAAACTTCTACTTGATCTGATTATACAAATTGACAGGTACCCAACGTGAGATTGCATCACATGGCCCCAGAGACTCAACCAGTGCCTCAGCCATCAATCCAGAATATCGCAGCATCAATACCTTTCAATTATCAACTACAAGGCTCTAACAACAGACAAGTAATGCAGTCCCTACACTGTCAGTATCACCCACAACCATCACTACGTCATGCGTCTGAAGCGGACGCAGTTGTTCCTTGCGTGAACATCCAGTACCAAACAGGTATACCTTCAGGCACTCAACATCAGCCGAATGTTCACCCCACTGCGGCGATTGCTCCTATGCGTCCTGTTTCACACGATAATCAACAGT